AAATGTCTATCGAATGAATAAATTTTATCTTCTAGAACATGACCTCTTGACCTCTTGTGCACTGCTGTGTCCTCCATGCCTAGAAAAGTTCGTAGCACATAGCAGACTCTCAATAAATAATTACTAAATGAATTAATTCAATTAAGCAGTACTCTCCTTAGAAAGCAGGCTCATGGCTTAAGCAGCTAAAATAGACTGGTGGCTTTAAGGTAAACTGTATCCCAACAGTTCTGGTTCAAATACAAATTAGGTTGAGATGGCCAGTGTCAAAGTATAGGCTGGTTGTTAAGCACGCCAAGGTCAAAAACATTGAACTAATGCTTTTCTCTCATTGTGTATTATGTAGGCATGACCATAGTCTGATAGATCTTGGATTTTGTGAGATACATTGGGCTCCGTTTTACAGTAAATGACTAATTAAACACTTTGTTAAAAATGTATCTGCTTGATAAAAATCACCTCCAGAGAACAATTTAATTATTAACGCCTGATATGAAATTCCCTGGGTATGTTCAGAGATGAACAGTTGATCTGTCAAAACTATTCAGAAAACATATGTTTGCTTAAATAGATGAAAAACATCAAGTATTCCCCAAATTCTCATGATAGAAACAGGTTTTATGCCTGAGCCCATGGTGCAAAATATGTGGAAGAGTGCATTCCTTTGACAAAGGGAACAGACTCTTATTCTTATTCCCATTAATGAGGAAATTGCTTTTATTTTAGATGGATGGTTGCATTTGCTACGTGGGAACAAATTCTTCAGGTCTTTGATCAATCACTTGTCCAAGGAGGAAAATTGTAATCCCTTTTCTTTTTATGAATGCACCAGAACAAAGGCTACATTTTTATGCAACAGAGAGGGCTAATTAATTGTGCCCTCATAGAAAATATTTTGTGGTGAAAGGGGAGTGCATTTACAGTAAACAGGAGGTACCTCAGAGGACTGGCAAGTTCAGTCTTAATGTTCAGAAAATTTGCTGGCGGGGCCGGCCCGGTGGCGCTCCCGCCCGAGGGTTCGGATCCCACATACGGACCGGTTTCCGCTCACTGGCTGAGCGAGGCACGGGAGCAGCACCGAGGGTTGCAATCCCGTTGCCGGTCCCCGGTCCGGTACGGGGGCAACACTGAGGGTTGCGATCCGTTGCCGGACACGGAAAAAGACAAAA